GTACATGGAATTTGATCTGCTTCCCTATTATTTCCAACCGGGTCAGGAAGTCTGGTTTGGTTCCTGTAACCCAAGCGTGAGTTTGTCTTGATCAACCTTGTCGTGAATATTGAATATCAAGCGGTCTTTAGGGACCACTGGCTATGAAAGTAACTAAAGTGAGAATAAACCCGGTGCTCGGCTTTTCCTGGTGCGCGCCATTTCCACATCTCCAAACACCTAGTACTTATCTTTTATCCAGGGGTAACTCCGGCACAAATTGGGGAGAGATCGATTCGATCACTATCAAGGGACAGGGATACTCTTGGAATGGCCGATTCTTCAATACTGTCACGCTCAAGGAAAAGTGCTACAAGTTTGCTGTGAGTTTCCCCTCAACTTCCCTTCAAGTTCGTTAGATAGCTGAAGCAACCTGAACGATGTGGACAGGGACGAAAGGAGATCTCAGCACTTTCTGTTCAGCTCATGACACCTGAGAAACGGGAGGAGCTTACAGGTAAGTGCAATAACCCTCCCGTCCATGACACTCCTTGTTCTGATTATGAGTACTGATTGAACTGCATTCGACAGCTCGTGGGAGGAGATACAAAACTGAAGCTGGTATTCGTTACAGAATCTGTGAGTGGTGCTCTCCCCACATGATCCCACTTCTGTGCGGAATGAAGAGTAACCCAAATGTCGCTTTTTGTAGGGAATGGTGTAAGTGTGGATCATGCGCCGCTTCAAGGACGGTCCGATTGAAAGCCTTTTGCTTCCTACTTTATTAGGAACGAGTTGTCATCGACCCACTCGGCTACACTGACGCCGAAGAGTACAACAACGAGCACACTGGTGATAGTAACAAAGGCAAAAGAAGCCGGAATATGGCAAAGACACGGGGGACGCGGAGGCCACAGACTCCTGACTCCTTCGACCCGCCAGCCCCACCCCGCCCCAGTTGGGGCTCGCGAGCACCCATTTCGCCTGCCCCGAGGAGCGAAAGCTTACGACTAGAAGATTCGTTCAATGCGGAAATCGCTGATGACCTGTTGTGCTTCATGCCGACTGAGTTGTTTGGGTACAACTTGGTGAGGAAGGAGTGGCAGTCCTTTGAGTTGGACGAGGTGAAGCCGGTGGAGTTTGATAGCAAAGCTTGGGACCATTTGGTGCTCGATGCAGATGTGAAGGTTAGCCCTTGCCACTTTTATGTCGCTTTTTTAGTCGCACAGGACGCTGATCCCTGTATTCATTCTCTCTTAGACATTAATCAAGGGTCTTGTACAAGTATCTACGCAGGAAGCAGCGGCTTCTGGAGCTCTCGTGAACGACGTGATCGCCAGGAAGGGTGGCGGTTTGGTATGTTATACAACCCCGGAAGTCTTAGTTCTATTCTAATAATTTGCCTTATCGCAAGACTTCTGTGCTGTACGGCCCGCCGGGAACTGGTGCGTACATTTCCTTTTGAACTCAACGGGGACATACGGTCTGATGCAAGACGGTCGTGGATAGGAAAAACTCTCACGGCTGAAGCAGTCGCCGAGCTCCTAAAACGTCCTTTGCTGACGGTAGGATCTTCAGAATTACCGCGAGACCCTCCTGGCATGGAAGATACATTGAGATACGTTCTAAAACTAGCGACAACCTGGGACGCAGTTATGCTTATCGATGAGGCTGACGTACGTGCTCAAATAGTTACAGCCCCACTGTGTTATTGATGTGTTCCTAATATACAGGTATTCTTGGAGCAGAGGAGCTTGCATGAGGTATGTGTTTGCTATAGACGGAGTGCCCCCGGTCTGACGAACCTGACTTTTAGATCGAACGAAACGCCCTTGTCTCCGTGGCCCTACGAGCGTTGGAATATCATCGTGGCGTTGTGTTCCTCACCACGAATAGAATCAAGGTCTTCGACGAAGCTTTCCTGTCCCGGTTCTCCATTGGTAAGTCGTTGAGTTTTAAGTACGTCCACGAAAAGTTCCTTACCCTTAAGTTCAATGTCCCCTTCTTGACGTTGTCCAGCTGTGAAATACCCCGAATTGAACAAGACTGGACGATACGTCATCTGGTCAAGATTCCTCGAACTGGCTGGCTACGCGATCATCTCTTCGCCCTTCGTTACGAACGATGACCTAGGTGACAAGGTTATACCCTGTCAATCGATTGAAGAGCTCGCCTCGAAGAATTTCAATGGTCGTACCATCAAGAATTTGGTACGAAGATATCCACTTCGCTTCGGTCAATACCTTAATACTGATTTTCTCTCTGATCATTTGCGCAGGTTCGCACTGCACAAGCGCTGGCCCTCTCGAGGTGAGTGCTGATTCTCTGGAATAAACCTCAAAGACGCTGATTCCTGTCTTATGTAGTAACTCACCTCTCAAGATGGAGCATATTCATATCGTTGTCCGTGCTCAAGAGAAGTTTTTGGAGGATTTTGCTGCTGAGAGGATCCCCTCCGACTGAGATTGGTTATGACATTGAAATGACTAGTTAGGCGTTGTTGGTTCGGCATCTTGATATGGCTACTCTTGCTGCTGTACATATATAAATCTCCTTCTTGATGAACGAAATAATAGGGACCTTTTCTTGACGGTAAGCACAGAGTCGCAAGCGGAAACGATGTCCAGAATCCCGTCCTGTCGGAGCACGGTTTTACCGAAGACGGCAATCTCCGAGCCTTTATAACTCCGCCGCTACCCGTAGTATAAAACCCGCGAGAAATTTTCTCCTGTTTCTTTGTGACCCTCACAGGCAGCGCTGCTGGGCTCACCAACCTCCCTGTTCATGAACGGAACGGAAAACTTGCTACGGTCGAATCGACCAGGAGACTACTATTCTCTATGATACCACGGGTTGGCAACACATGTGTGCCGCAGAACCCTGCTCTATCGAATCTATTCGAGTTGGAAGCTAGAGCTTCCTAAACCTATGATGAACCAGATCTTGATGTCCTGTTGGCAGTCATACAGTCAAACGTATTCATACCGCAGGCACTGGATGATCTATGCGATTACCACTATAATCGAGTCTAAACTTGGCTTCCGCTTGGTGTAGAAGGACGATTCTTGTTTCGCAAGGAGACTGGTGTTGCGGTCGTTGGCCTAGGCGTCTTCTCTCGAAGTTTACTACTGGTGTTTGAGGTCATTGTGCTGGGACGGATCGGGGGCATGAGTGAGTACTCCATGTTTCTTTTTCTATTTGTCTTTGCTTACCCGTTGTTTTCTTTGTAGTGGCCTTCCTCTGTCTCGCTGGCCCTCTCACCTTGGTCGCTCTCCTCGTACTGGCTCGCTTCGTCTGGCCTTTTTCGAGAGTTCGCTTCTGGAAGATCCCCCCGTCCTCTCCTCATGTTGCTAGCATCCAGCTGCTCGACGAACCCTTAGGGGGGAGAGTTGGTTTGTCGTTTGGCGGCCGGAAGGACTGGGGTTCCCTACGTCGACTACCACTTCGTCGCTCTCACTTCGTGGACACGGCGTTCAGCTAGTCTGGATGCTGGCATGTGGGTCACACCCATGTCTATCTGCCTCACGGTAGACGTTGAATCGTTCGACTGCACTATTCGGTCCATGATACGAATTAACTTACTCTGTGAAGAGTCAGGTCGTACTAAGAACCCGCTCTAAGAAGAACGGAGCGCGCCTCAGCGGTTCGGAGGAAGGGATTGCGGTCGCTTTTCCTACTCGGAAGAGGGCGTAGGGTTGGGTCTACTTGTTTCATTAACGAGGCAGCGGATCTACCCTATTGCTTAGACTTTCCATGATCGGCGACGGTCTTGGGCACATCAGTCCTGGAATCTGTTTTGTTGGGGCTAAAGAAACTGAACATCGCGTTTAAAAGGGTCGTTAGAACCACCCTAAACGTTGAAAAGAACTGAATCGAGGCCGCTAGGCTTCGATAGTAATGATCAGAACGTACCAGTTATGGTCAAGAACGGAGTACCAGAACGAACGACAGAACGGAGTAGCAGTTTAAGCACTCCAGTCGTTTGACATAGAACATGCTGTCATTGCGGATGAGGAAGGTCGTCTTGTTCATGGGGTTGCGGGGTTGACTTGGCCGTTCGATGGGGGTCGTGTTGGACGTCTCCTCCCTGAGGGAACATCTTCGCCGTCACCTGTCTTGCTGCCTCGTTGACTTCGTCTCGCTCGATGAGCTAGGTGTCTACCTTCGGGTGGATGCAGTGGCGGGTTAATCCCTGCCATGTCTGACCTTTTTCGGTCAGTGACGAGGGTTAGATATTGGATGCTACCCTCCGACGCTCCCTTCTCGTTCATTTGCGCAGCAGACCAGACTAAAGGATTGTCAATACCCCTTGAACGACGGGGCTTGACCATGAGTCGGAGACGTCTGGAGTGATGCTCAACTACGGGCCCGAGGGAATCACCTCAGACGTTTCTGACTAGAAACTTTCCAGTGTTCCGTTCTTGCACGAACGAACGCGGTTGGTGCGGCCAGAATTCGTCTTCATGATGCAAGGTTGAGTTTCTGGTGCCCTTCGCTCTTCGGTGGTGGGATTTGGCCACTCTCCACTACTTTGTTTTTACCTCTTCTTTCGCGCCAAACTCTTGCTGGTCTCTCGACGGAGGGATCGGCAAGGGTCGTCTTTCTCCGAGAAACGGCCTCGAGGGTGGTATGCCTCGGCTCATACTCGACGGCCGCCGAGGTCTGAACTCGTTTCACGGTCCTCAGGGAATAGGTGGAAGAAGCAGCGCGCGCATTCTTCCGTCTGTTCCCTTCCTCTCGCTAATTTTTGGAATACCCTTTTCTCTTCGGAGAAAGTTTTGCCAACGCCTGTTCTTGTCAATTTTGAATGGGTACGCGATTTACTCCCGAGCTTTTTATGACTTGACTAATACGTGATGTCGATAGACGTTCAAGCTTCCGTGGCCTCAGGATTGCGGGACTCCTTTTCTAGGGTTCCTCTATGTATCACTGCCTGAATATTATTGAGCGTTTCTACAATTCCCTTCGTGGTCGCCAGTAAAGAAACGAACAGGTATGGCAACATGCGCGTCCTTCTCAACGGCCTGATGGTCTAGTAGTATGATTCCTTGTTAGGGCAGTTTGTTGAAACTGGTCATCTCGAGGAGGTCCCGGGTTCAATTCCCGGTCAGGCCCATGGATGCTCTTCCATCAGCAATTTTGTTCTGAGACGGGGAACACAGTAGTCAACGTTCAGCACGCACGGTTAAGTACCTACTACCCATAGTCAAATTAACTTAGATGTCTAAAGACACGCGTCGCGTTCGCCGTTGTTTGACAGTCAAGTGGCACAATGGTTCGGATTGAATACACGTTTCTGATGATTATTACTAGTGTTACCGATAAGCTATCAAGAATAAAGTAGGTGTGCACGGAATATCGAGAGGTGAGAAAATGGTATCTGTGTCCCTAGGGTCGCGCAATGTACATACATGGCACGTGGCACCGTACTGGAGGTACGAAGGAATCAGGGAAATTATTTATGCACCCTCTTCATCTCCTCGACCGTGTGCTTCCACAGTGCCTTCCTCTCTTCAGGCGAACCGTAATACCTCGTCTTCCCCATGTCTTCCCCTCGGTCGTTCAGTCTCCATGCTCGACCTTCCTTCGCGGTGGAAAGTAGACCGTGAAGCATGTTCTCGCCTGATTCACGGTAGGTCCATACCATCGAACGTAGTACAACTCGAAGTACTGGCATGGCGACCTTGGAGACGCCCCGCAAGAAAGGTGATTCGGAATTCGACAGGTAGCCAGTGTCTACAAAACCAGGATATGCGTGAACAAACGGTATTCCTGGGTTTCTCTCGGCGAATTCCTTCATAAGAAAGGAGCAAAAATGAGTATCAAAGGAAGTGTTTGAGCCGGGAAAAACGCACCTCTAACATGAGATCGTTATAAGTCGGACCAGCTAGCGCGAAATGTGATTTCGAATAGGACTTTTTGAGACCCAAATCTTCGACTTTTATCTTCCCTCCGTAACCCGGAGCGAGAACAGAGTACACCTTCGCATCCTGTCCTTCCGACTGAGCCTTCTTCAATCCAGGCAGTAGATCGTCGATAAACTTCCATCTTGCATAGTAATGAACCGCCATCTTCCTGTCAATGCCCTCGGAAGTCTCGTCCCTCTCCTTCATCGTCGTGAAACCCGGTGACATGACCAAGTAGTTTATCCTTGGTACCCGTGAAAGCAGCTCGGTTGTGGTTTTTTGGACGTTCTCCATGAGCGTTACATCGCACTGAACGAATTCGTGCTTTGCTTCCGAAGATGAAGGTTGAGGAAATTTAGCGATGATGGCCTCTGCTGCTGCCTTATTACGACCGACGATAACGATGTGCGCGTTGCCTTCAGTGTGATCAGCAAAGGCTTCAGCCATGCCTTGCCCGATGCCAGACGTTCCTCCAACGAATATGCCGACTGGAAGATATGAGAGAGAGCGAAGAAATGGAGAAGTGGATGCCTGTTTGGCTGCGATGGACGACATTGTGTGTAGAGAACTCAGAAAATGGTGATGGTGGTGATTATGGAGACGAATGAGAATGTCTCCCAGTTTATATACTTCGCCATGCCTTGACTGTCCAGGCGGTGGTTTTCAAAGCCGGATGGGCGACGCGTTCAACAAGTCGTGGTCATGGCGGCAGGCACAGTTCGAGACGGTTCGTTGCTGCCGGTTCGGATACCTTCCGAGTCAAGTCAGCGGCCGTTGTCAATCTTCCTCACGGTTCGTATTCAACGGTTGTTGGTTGAATTTCAACCAACAAGGGTTACCTGGCCTAGGCTAGTAAATCGTTCTCTTTAACCATTCAAATAGTCTATATTTCACTCGGCCAATGTCGTGAGCAAACCATACAGTTTTCAATCTCTTCCAAGCTCGGGGTCAGTCTGTCCTACTTCAGGCGATCTCTGGATCTGGGGATAGAATGTCGTCCTAAAGCACGTCTTTTGTCTTTCGGGTTCTGAAGAATGTTGAAGGGGAGCTAGCAAGGCTCGAACGTCACTCTCCCGACTCTACAGACTCTGAAATAAAGGTGATACGTTGAGGACCATGGTTTTAAAGTATCCCTCCGTGTAACCGCCTATCCACCGGCTACCTTCCGAGTTCTGTTGATCAATGACTCACGGCTGCCGACTGACCTCCATCGTTAGATTGAAAGTCAACTACACCTATAGCTCAGTGACGAACCCGCGTCTTTCGAACCTCCCTATTCGTGTCCATTACAGATCACACTAGGTTTAGACTTCATCCGGTCTACAAATTTCTCCGGCTTCCGATGCTATCAATACTTCAGGTAATATCCAGAGATACCATGCCCTTCTAGCGGAGGCACTTTGTCTCTCAATTTTTGGATGAAGCCGAAGTAGAGCTAGCAGAACTCGAAACATGCAACTTCGACTGTTCTACCGACTTTAGAAACAAAAGCGATCCGTTGAGGGCGATAATTCAAAGATATCGTTCCTATCGCCCATTCATCAACTGCCTTTCGAGCTACTCAAGAAAGTATTTGAAGGAGCTGCCCCGGAATCTGCGTATTTTGGCAATGATCCCGACGACTGGTCCATACCTTTCGTTATTCCCGTTTCGATATTTTGACGTCGCTGACGAGAAACGACCCTCAGCACACCGTCCTTGTGTCCAACATCTTGCTCTACCTATCTTCATTGGATACGGTTGATGCATGCGTGACTCTAGATTCTACAATACGCTTGTTCCTTCATCAATCCCAGTAAGCCCCGATCTCCCCTCCTGTCCGCTGACCTCGTCGCCCTCGTTACCCGTTCAATTAAGACCGCGATAATGGTTTCTCCTTAATGAACAGCGAAAACACAAAAGTGCAAACAGCGAGTCCCACGCTATACCACATAGTGGCATGAATGGAAGATTCGTATGACGTTTTCACGATTGCCCTTGTCTCCGAGTCTAGCTGGTCAAGATACTGAAGAGATTCCCGCACCCGCCTTACAATCTAGGGGAAAGGCATCAGAGATGTCGATGGCCAACCACATATTGAGAAATTGGTGCAAAGAACGAAGCCCACCTCATTGACATCGTGACCGGTTAGCCTGTGGCGAAGAATGCTCCGGAGGGTATCTTGTAAGATTGTGCTTCCGACGGAAATACCGACCACGGCTCCAAGCGAACGGAAGAGGTACGATACTACGGATGTAAAGGTAAGTCAAGGAAGTCGTTAGAAAAGCACAAGACATACCTGCTGTAGCGATTGCTTGGTCTTCCTTGCCTGCGTTGGATATCAGCGCAACCAGACTCGTAGTCACCGCGCCCGCTGAACCACCTGTCAGCGAATCAAAGAGAACGAAGGCCCAAAGAATTACGAACCACTGCCCAGCCCGGCCAGAAAGAGACCTAGATGACATGCTCAGCGCACGTAACGAGGGTAATATGAGAAGCACTCACCGGCACTGATGCCAGCCACGGAAGTGAAAACAATGCCTGAGCCGAGAACAACGTCCAACGTGCCCACCACTTGCAAGAAACACGCGAGGGCGGTGATCAAGTAATACTTCCCGGTTGCTTGAATGACCAGCCCTCCTGTCAAACTTCCCAAAACCGAACCAACGATAGTAGGGATTATAGCCAATCCAGCTCGAGCAGCCGAAAAGGACTGGACTGCCTGGTAGTAGAGGGAAGCTTGGAAGATCATGGACATCTGTGATGCAACAGCGAAGAAGTTGACCAGGTAGGCTGCTATCAAGCTAGGATTGACAATGATTCTTCGTGGCGCAAACGGCTCGCGTGCCCATTTCATCTCGGTCAAAGCGAAAAGTACGAAAGAAACCCCCGAGATAGCCAAAGCACCCGTCGTATACTGGTCGTTCCAAGCCACGTTCCCGCCGCGTTCCAGGCCAAATAGGAAGAAAAAGACGAAGAAGATGAGAGTGACAGCTCCAAAGAAATCGACGCGTTTTATCTTGGTTTTGAAGTCGGAAGCTTCAGTCCTGGGGAGATGAAGTGCAACAGACACAAGCAAAAACGCCGTTATAACTATCGGGACTTGGATGAGGAAAGCCCTGGAGTACTGGGTGAGCATTCGGTGTTTCTAAAAACTGGCTCGTACGCACCATCTCCAACCAATCGTATCCGCCATCAGGCCTCCAAGAGGTGCACCTATCATGGATCCCGTCGAGAAGATGATATTGATGAGGCCTATAAAAAACCGTAAGTCATGATAACTTCTACAGGATTTGGGTATCACCTTGCCAGGTTCCTCTGGAGCGAAGCGGCACCACGTCCGAAATGATGATAGTGCCCACGCTGAATAAAGACTGCGAGTGAGCAACCCGTGACACAGAATGAGATTTTTCGCATACGTTGGAATTCCACCGCCTCCGATGCCAGCGAGTGCTCGAGCCAGGATGAGTTGATCCATCGTCTTGGAAAGCCCGCATAACAAACACCCGACTCCGAACACGCAATACGCGAATAACAGGCATGTTTTCCGTCCAAATATGTCGCTGAGCTTGCCGTATAGAGGTCTTGCAAAAACATGATATCGGAAGGTTGTAGCTTGTAAGTACGACTGGAGACGTACTGGAAGGTCGTGACTGTCAACATGTAGCTTGTCGCGATCCAGCTTGTTTTTTGAAGTTGCTTGAGCTCGTTCCCAATTGAAGGGTATGCTTCGGTTCCACATGAGCTTCTTCAATCAATTCATTCACAGAGAATGTTGAGAACCCACAAGCAACGATGACCGTCTGGTCCATGGCAGACAGAAATATCCCAATCGTCAGAGGTCCAATCTAAGCAGCTCTTCGAGTTAGTCTGAGCTTAACAGCGACGAGAACACGAACATACTATCGAAATCAATTGTGCTGTTGATTTTCCTGTCTCTGTCCCATTCTCCCCGACCGTTTGAGTGCTCTGAGATGTTTGAATGGCGCCGTGGTTTTGAGGCTCGTCGTGAGCATTGGCAAGAAGAGGAGACGTTTCCTCAGCCATTATTGTACGATGAAGGGAGCTGAGAGGCTCTGAGAGAGGAGTGAATCAGAATTGTGTCCTGGCCCGGTCCCGACGCTAGAAGATATATCATTGAAATTTCAGAAATTCAAACATTGAAACAGCGAGCTCACCATTCGATACAATGAATAGCTGAGTAAGCGGAAAACCGGCCCTGGACCGGAT